GTTAATTCTTATTTAATACCTTGGTTTTCTAGAAAACCATCATAGTGATATTCTAGATCAGTATTGCTTTGTGTCTATATAGTACCTTTCATCTAACAGACTTTACAAGTAATTTCTGAATTTATCTATTTGATGTGCAAGCTGTACACAGAGATGATCTACACTAGGGATCAAAAATAGCAGCCGTTCAACAATATACAGGACAAAACTGGTACTGAAAATGGAAGAGCATATTGTGGAGTCTTTAGCTTAATCTGCAAGGGCAGTTGGTGTTGGCGGGATAGAATTACACAGGTCAGAATTTTCTCCACTGGTTGCAAAGGTCATACTAGTTCTGAGAGGAAAATACGGGATCAGTATAGAGTTACAATACCACCTATACAGTATGCACTAGGGGTATACTGGGGCCCTGGCTTAATGTTAGCAGGCATGGAGAGCATCTCCTCCTGACCTGCTGTCATCACTGCTTCCTATTCAGCAGTGGTCATTTCCACTTACAAGTGTCTTCTAGCTGAGTCTCTGAAGCATTTTGTTCCAAGTATTGGTCCACTCCAGTGCTGCTTATTTAATGCAATGTAGCAGAATGATGCCTCACAGCATGGTCCTGGCTATCAGCTAAGATAATTTGTTTTTCCCCTTGCTAGAAGCACTGGGAGGAAGGGAAAAATCCTCTCTATGGAACTGTTTTGTGTTTTTTTTTATCTGCCTCCAAACATTGCTGGTGTCTTGCAGTTTGACTTGCAGATTTCTCTGGCTGACTTTAGTGTAGTACTTAAACTGAATGATGAATAACTTATTTTTGCAAGCTTCTGTGCAATGCAGAATTTACTGATGATTCCTGGCTCCTTACTAAAGCTGGTAATTACTGCTTGTTTAACTGGTGGTTGATTTGCACCCTCTTGGGAAACCTAACATCTCTAAAAATGACAGTGTAGAAACTGCAGTCTTGATGATTTGCTTTTCATTTTCCAAGATTTTAGGCTTTAATTTATGACTGTCGACTAGACCACCAGGGCATTGGTCTTCAAACTATGGGGGTGTGTGTGTCTGCGAAGTCGTGCATCTGTATATCAGAGTTTTTAACTGTTCAGACAAACTCATCTATTTTAACCTAAAATAAGGGGAGGTGTTGTTGCTGCAATCTGGCGTGAGTGCTTCCGCTGGGAAGTTAAAGCCAAGTAACAGCCATTATAATGGATTGTATTGCAAAAAAAAAAAAAAAAGTTAGCTACATTCCTGCTCATTACTGCCTGCTATAGTTAGTTTAGGTTTGGAGTTGCTTAATGAAGGGAGATGCTTCCAAAAATGGAATTTTCTCTGGACACAATAGCTGAAAGTTTAGGAAACATTTTCACTGACATTCCACTTGCTCACCTGGTAAATGGTTTATTATGATCCAGCCTCTGGCTTTTGTAGCTAGCCCGTGCACTAAACTGGCAAATACCAGTGTTCACCAATTACCTAAATTAAGTCTGGGTCTTGCATCTCATCTCATATTTATTTGCTTTGAATGAATCCAAAAGTAGTGCTAACAGCTGGAATCCCTGCTGAGGCCAGCTTCATGTGCTCTGGAGCTGCTCCAGCCAGTGCTCTGATAAAGCTTGATATCATTTCAACAGGCTCTAGGAGAACCAGAATGATTTCCCTTCATTGTTTAAGGTTTCATTCAAATATTTGCCATGTCAGGAAAAAGGATATTTCACTTCTGCTTTTCTCCCTTCATTGCTGCTACTATAAAACTTTTTTCTCTTTTTTTGTTTGTTTTCTTAAAGTTAAACTAAAGTGTGGCTAGTGCTTTTGGATTCTGTGGGAATTGTTCTACTCTTCATCCCCAGTGACTCCGTGCTTTGCGGTTGTAAAAGGTGCATGCTGTATATAAATAAATAATGCATCAATGTCTTGGGGTCAAAGCACACTTTCTGCTAAAGGGACATATTACGTGGGGGAGGCCAGGGAAAACTCTGGCCTTCTGCCCAGATTTCAGTAGTAAGCAAAGCACCTAAATCCCTCTAAAGATCTGGCCTGCAGTCTATTATTCTTCAGCAGCTTTTTGATTGTGGCATTAAAAAATAGTAATATTGGATTGATTTTTTCAGGCAGTTCAGTAATCTTGGAGTAATGTCTGCTCTTCAAAGAGAGACTTCCTTAAGGCCCCCATAATTTTGTGGTGTACATCGACTTAAAAACGAGGTATTATCGGTCAACAAAGTTTTATTCCCACTGTGCATCATCCCTCTGGTATGACCAGCAGAGCTGTGCCGCGCCAGGCCTCGTGCTGGTGCAGGCGAGCAGTGCTCTCCCGGCACAGCCCTCCTCCCTGCCCAGCTGCTGGAATCACTGCCCCCGCTCCTCTGCCCTCTCAGCTCCCAGGGTCACCTTCCCCACTATATGAGAATCAGGTTTTGCAAAGAGTTACTATCTTAATTGTTTGGCCTAATTCAGGTCACTATGGGATGGGTGAAGGGTGCACCCACGTGAGCTGCTGTGCTGGCAGCTGGGATGGGGGATGCACGAAGTGGGGTGTCCTCCCCACTGAGAGTACAGTTCTCTCAGACCATTTGTACATTGCAGGTGCAGCTTATGTTCCTAACAAACTTGTTTCCAGGGCTAGGGTAGGCTGGCCCTTACTGCTTTTATCAGGCTGATAGTGAAATGTAAGTTCAGCTGTGGAGCTGTTCGTGTAACAGCAGAATGACAACAGAGCAGACAGGACCTACAGCATCTAGTCAGCTGCCAGGTGTGATGGAAGAGGGTTTATTACTTGGAATTAAAGGTACTCACTGTTGTTCAGCATAATCTCCTGCCCCTGCAGGCCACCAGCCCCCAAGCAGCTGTGGCCTGAGGTGTCAGGGTGAGGAGCAGGCTCTGGTGGCTTACTGCTGCCTGCAGGTACTGGTGCTTGTGGGGAGGAAGGAAATTCATACATGACAGGAAATGCAGAGCAGTATTTTTGCAGCTATATTTGCACACCTGTCCTAAATGGCTGACTTCTGAGAATAGATTTTGTTCTTTGTAGCAGAGGGTCCAAGGGATCCATGATGCTGGGTGTGGTAACTTCAGTGCTGGTCTTTGCTGGCACAGTAAAATTACTTTTGTGATTAAAGCAGCATGTCCTATACTCTAGCTGGTCATGTGTTCCATGAGAACAGCATGGCTTTAGTATGTGCTTGGAAGCAGAAAATAAAACCTCTGGTGTTCCTAGATAAAAATTTCAATTGCTCTTAGTAAAGCCTATACTGTCAATCTTCGGTGGTATCAACTGTGCTTGGGCAGGTCATGCAAGTGGTGCACAATCACATCCTCCTTCAGTGGGACAAGCATGTACAATATTCTTGTATCCAGAGTTAGGATGCTGTGGTCTGGAAGGATGGAAAACTAGATGGATGAAAAACTTGTCGGATGGTTGAGCTTGGAGGGTGATGGGTAATCAGTTGTATTATACCTAGAGGCTGGTAACAAATGGAGCACTGCAGGGTTCTCTCATGGGAATGGAGCACCACAGGGATCTCTCATGGGATTGACCTGTATCAGTAGCCCAACGCAGAATGGCAGAGTGCACTCTCATCAAGTGTGATGACACTAAACTGAGAGGGACCAGCTGATGCACTTGAGGGCAGAGCTGCCACCAAAAGGGAGCTAGACGGACTGGAGGAACAGGCCAACAGAAACTTTATGAAAATAAACATGGGCAAATGCAAAGTCCTACCCCTGGAAAGGAAGAGCCCCTTGCAGCAGTACAGGCTGGGGAGCAGCTCTGCTCCCAGGGGAGCCTGGGGACTCTGGTGGTCTTGGTGGGCAGTGAGCTGAACGTTGGCCTGCAGTATGCCCATGCACAACAGCATCTAGGGCACCACAGGAGCATAGCATGTAGATCAAGGGGAGTGATTATTGCCCTCTCCTCAGTCCTGGGGAAACCACATCTGGATACTGGATCCAGTTTTCCAACCAAACTTAGCCCATCATCTCCCATCACTTTTATTGCAATACTGGCAAGCAGTGAAAGGAGATGTCATAGGAGTGAGAACAAGACTTATATAGCAACAGCATTACTGGAGTAAACTCTATGGAAGGCGACTGGTATCACTACCAAATAGTCCCAATAGTGAAGAAGTAACTCTGAGACAAAGATCTGATTCCCCACCAGCAGCCTCTCACCTGCTCCTCCCTGCATCCTACTTAAGCTGCTAATGGTGTCAACACAAGTTTAATATGTTTTTGCTTTAAAAACCCTTTTAAGACCTGTTGACTGTCATGTGGAGTAGTTCATGTTAGGCTTATCTCATCATTCAAGGTGAAATTTAAACAAACCGTGAATTAAGCGATTATATCAGCAAGTCTGGAGATGATCAAAGAGAGGAGGAAGCTTCTGAAAGCTGTTTGGTTAGTTCTGTGGCTCAGTCCATGAAAGCAAACATGTACTGCCCTGTGCAAACACAGCACAAAGGAGTTGCAGATTTTTGCAGACTTTGCTCTATGGACTTTTACCCACACCTCCTGGGGACCTTCACTTTGTGTTGGACCATGGGGTTGTATATGACAGGAATTGGAAGATACGAATAGAGGAGGATGGTAGTAGTAAGGCATGACACCCTGTCTTTGTACTTTAATTATGACTGGCAAATCAGTTTTGCAATGACTGCTCATCTTTAGAAACCCAAGCAAGCTTCAGCTGAAACTGCCTCAAAGTCACGTAGCTTGTAGAGAACAATAAGCTTGTACCATACATACCGGTGTTTTAGTTAATTCAGGTTTTTTTCCTCCTACTTCACTGTATATCTTGTGAAATATGAAGGGTATTTATTTCCAGTCTGGAATTTCACAAAGGCTGGCGCATCCAGTGAAAGAAGCTTTGTGCAAAGATACCTTCTGGGGGTGTCTGCTGTAGGTTTGGGATTGATCATCTGAACAATACTGAGCCAAATGAAGGATGCTTAGTAAAGAAAAACTGAAGGTGGGCATCTTGGAGAATTTATTTTTCAACAATCTTTATCTTTCAGGCTATGGTCGCTTGCTATCCTGGGAATGGAACTGGGTATGTTCGTCATGTGGACAATCCAAATGGTGACGGGCGCTGCATCACCTGTATTTATTACCTGAATAAGAACTGGGACTCCAAGGTGAGTATGCCATAGGGCTGAGGCAGAACATGAAGGAAAAACTACTTCAGAACCAGAACTTTGGAGCTGTCATTTCCTTCTGTGAACTCTGAGCTTTTGAACAGTTGGTCCATTATTCATCTCTACATTTATTTTCTTGGTGTTTATGGCAACCCTTTGGAAGTAAGAATCTGAACTGTTTCCTTAGCATTCTCTCTCCCATCCCACACACATACTGTTTTGTTGCTGTAGGATAAAGCTTCTAAGCACAGGGCTGCTTGCTCTTAAGCTTTGTTTAGAGGAAAGAGCAACATAGCACTAGAAAGAAAAACATAATCCACTAAATAAGTGGATTCTGGGAGCAGAATAAAATGACAGTCCGAATTTGGGACTACAGAGTTCTTGATGCTGTTCCTTCAGGCTAATCTACAGAAGATCTTCAGGCAGTTGCCTCAGTTTTCTTACTTATGAACTGATGGGTCTTAATAAGAGGAATGAGCACGTGGCTTGGTTTGGCATCTCCATCTTTGACTCTACCAGTGGGTCTTGTGACAGGATGGTGCTCTTGTTTCTCTGCCTGTATTACTACAAGGCAATAAAGTCAGCCTTGAATTTACCATACCTTTAAGTTAAAAACAAAATAAGGGTTTGCAAAATTGCAGGATGTCCCTTTACACTTCTGTTTTCATAATGCAGCACAAACCATTCACATGGATTATCTATTGAAATTTGCCTGATGTTTTTTCTGCCTCTCTAACCTGTCTTCGCAACTTTAGGTGGATGCTTTTTAAGCACACGTAAATGCTATGAGTCCTCAAAAGTGAGTTCAGGTTTAGAGGCAATGCCACTGAAAAATGCACTGTTGGAGAAAAACACATTCCTTTATGGAGGGTATGACAGTGAAATATCTCAATGTAATAAAATGAAGGAGGAGATGTGGGCGGAAATGCAAATATCTAATTTATTTTGCACGCTGCACTCTCATTCTAATAGTGAGGAAGCAACAAGTGGACACTAAGCTAACTGAAATCCAGGACACTGGTGGAGAATATTATGTGGGTGTGATGGTAATTTTAGGCAAATGTATGCCAGAGGAGGTGCAGTATAACCATGCTGGCCTTTGAAAGTAACCATGTTGCTTTAAGCCTGACCTAATAGTTTCTTACTGAGATTTGCATGCCACGTGGAGGTACTAAGTCAGGTCAGTGTTGGGGTGATACCATCTTCCCTGCACTCTGTGGTGCAGCCTCCAAAGCCTGCAAAGAGCCCCCTCCCAGCACCAGGGAGAAGGCAGAGTTCATCTGCATCTTTTAAAGTTTTTACAGTGTGTGCAGATCACTGGACTTTTTCCCTGAAACTCATGGCACGTGGAAAGAGAAATGATGTGGTAGAGAAACCAGGCCATGTCACAGGTAAAGAAAAGGCTGGCTGGGAGATACAATGCATTTGTGACAAGTTTATTACAAATCCAACAGTAGAACACATTTCAGTCTTTCCAGGGTGTAAAGGTTAACTCCTGTATGATCAGATGCAGGCTCTGAAATACCATGAGCAGAATCTAGGAATTGCTGGGAGGAGAGTCTGATCTCAGGCTGGTCAGGTGGAGCAGCTTTTCCTGCCTTGTGGTATTCACTGGTTCTAGAGATGTGACTGGGGGCTCAGAAGTTTCCCAGTGTTTCTTACAGGGCTAGTGTTATCTTTATCATGGTTCATTTACTTTAGTTGGATGTTTATGCTGAAACATTACAAACTGGTTGGGAAAATGGAGGTGGCTAGGAGATTCGGTGTATGGTTTTCCTTGTTGTCATGTAGCTATCTTGGTTACCATTAGATGTTTATTCGCCATTTGAGTGCTGAGGAGGGAGAAAGAGGTCATTGTTTGTATGAATCTGTGGATGTTTATATGTGTAAAAAGCAACCTTTCCTTTTCTTTCAGCTGCATGGTGGAATTCTTCGGATATTCCCAGAAGGAAAGTCCTATGTAGCAGATGTTGAGCCGATTTTTGACCGATTACTTTTTTTTTGGTCAGATCGAAGGAACCCACATGAAGTCCAGCCTTCTTATGCAACCAGGTAAGCAGCATATTTGGTATTGATACTTGGTCAGGAAAAGACAAAGCATCTCTTCTGTCAATACTTGTATCTAAAATTAATGGCCATCGTGCATTTGTTTAAATACACATGTGCATAAAAGATAGCTAGATTTTGTGTGGATTTTCTGTTTTTGAGTCACTGGGAATTGTCTCATCAAATGAGGAAGAACAAGCTTGAATGATAACTTTCCTTGTGTGATGGAAAAAAAGCCCCTTTTACCATTGACAGGAGAAATCTTTCAAGCCAGGAATAGCTGTTTAGCTAGGAGATGCTGTATTATACTTTTGCCCTTGTAACACTATAGGGATTCTTGGGGCTACAATCTGTCAACAGGCTACGAAAAGCTGATGTGACGCAGGGCAACCCCCAAGCTGCCTACAGGCATTCTAGAACAGAAAAACATGCAAAGGTCTGTAAGCTACTTTTGCCCTCTGTTACCAGGGGCTGTGCACCCATTCATGCCTCCAAGCAGAAATTCTCACCTACATTTCTATCTTACTTGATAAAATACACATTTAAAAGACTTGTCTATAAAGATGTGTCATTTGCATCATTTTTAATCTACTAATCCAGTTTTATTTTTTGCTTTCTCCATAAGTGTAAAACTCCAGGGTTCTATTTTAATAGCAAAAGCTGAAGCAAACACAAGATTTCTTTCTTTTATAGATATGCCATGACCGTGTGGTATTTTGATGCCGAAGAAAGAGCAGAAGCCAAAAAAAAGTTCAGGAACTTAACTGGTATGATTCTTTTAAAAGTGTTCACCAGAAAGAATTAAATGCATTGTGTTATTTCTAAAGTCAGAGACAGACTGCGAATAACTCTGTAGCTAGATGGGTATGACAGTAGTTTTTAGAAAGCTTTTTCATCTCTAATCACTAGTCAGTTATTTTATGCGAAGTGGAAAAGTTGTGACAGAATGGCCTCAGTATCCTTGGTGAGCATGATAGGGAACATGGGAGAGCTGGTTTCCTAATTTCTCTCCTGAATGGCTGCTGAGATTTTGCCCTGCTCTAGGTGGCTAGTCACTGGGAGTCTTTACGCTCTTCTTTTGTTATTTGGGAAGTATATTTTGTCTCCTCCAAACCTGTTTATCACAAAGTTGTGAGACTTAAACAGTTTCATGTTCTCTAAATGTTCTGGCTGAATACGGTTTGTATTCTGTATTAATGAAGAGCAGTTGGGGCCTGCAGTAATGCAAAAGATTTTGTCTTTAATTTATAAGTAATTTCTGAGTGGGGATATTCATAATGACCTTGGAATCTATAGACTGAGCTGGAAAGAAACTAAGTTTAGATAAGTGCATCTTTTGGCAGGCAATTGCTAGAGTAATTGTGATTGTGGTGCACTTCAAGAGCTACCTGTATTCAGCTTGGTCTCACAGAGATGTTTGTGTAGAAGCCCAGAAAGAGGTGACCCCAGCTTTCCTAACAGCAGCCACACTGCCTGCTACTGTAGTAATGGCACATGAGTAATGCACTGAGTTGTCCAGATGTGCTTCGACAGTCTACCTGGGGCCATGCTCAAAGGTTTGCTGTTTGGAGCAGTTTAAGATCTGGTCTTCAGGGACTGCCTCAGGCAGTTCCTCAAAATACAGTGTGGAGAGAATTTGTCTTAAAATGTGTGCTATGCAGCTGGGGACCAGCAAAGTCGTCATCAAATGTTTTTCAGAACAGACTGTTGTCATCTCTGTAGCTGATATGCAAAGCAAATACTGGCTTCAGCCTTTAAAGGGATTGTGAACAAGGGGCCAAGGGTGGGGGGAAAAGCATCACAGATCTGGTGTCTGGAAGTTTATTGGGCTACTTAAATACTGTGTGAGTCTTCTTCAGTTTCAACAGGCAAATGCACAAAACCTTGGTATGACTATCTCATTAACATGCTGTGGATTCATAGAGCATTTCAGTCCATGTAGTGAATTCTGAAATGGAAAGTGCTGTCCACTGAAAACAAACTAACTTTATTATGTTTTTTGAGTTTTCAGATGAATGCTGTCATAACCCTTTGGCTTAACTACCTCTCCTTTTTTATCTTTTCAATGTAGACGCAAGGAAGAGAGAAGCACCCCTTAATGAAGACTAACCAACTGTTGCTGAACTCTTTGTGAGGAAATAAGATTCCCAAAGATGACTTCCATTTCCAGTGAACAAGGGCAAATTCTTGTTATGCACAAGAAGGCACTGGTGGTGTCTAGTATGTGCATCTTATACTGATGGTACTTAAGGCAGCCTTCTGTCATGCCTGCATCTGGCAGAAGGAACACTTGTTTTCTCTTTGCCTTTTGCTGGAAAAAGTAACCAGGGTTAAAAAAAAAATAAAATCACTAAGCCTAGTGGTAGTGGCTCAGCCAACTGGCTTTTGATCACTCTTGTAACCAAGATAATGGTCATTGGAACTAGTGGTAAAAACCTGAGTCTTATTTGCACTTTGGGG